GCACCCAGTGCCCTGGGTCTGAGCTAGCCAGGAGCTGTGAGCGGCGGGTAGGGAGTGCGGGGCACCGCTGGGCTGTTCACAGCCCTGGCACGCGGGCAAGGCTGGCAAGGGGAAGCCGCTGGTTCCCCAAACCGGCCGGGTCCCTGCGCCCACTGCGGGTCACATGACGCCCCCTCCCTGCTCTGGGACATCTCCCCAAGCCCCTGCTGCTGGGGGCTGAGATCTACCAAGCCTCGCAGCCGGGGTAGGCGGGGATTTAGTGGGCAGCAGGGAGAGGGAAAAGAGGCAGCTGGGCGCAAGGCTGGCAAGGGGAAGCCGCTGGTTCCCCAAACCGGCCGGGTCCCTGCGCCCACTGCGGGTCACATGACGCCCCCTCCCTGCTCTGGGACATCTCCCCAAGCCCCTGCTGCTGGGGGCTGAGATCTACCAAGCCTCGCAGCCGGGGTAGGCGGGGATTTAGTGGGCAGCAGGGAGAGGGAAAAGAGGCAGCTGGGCACCACGTTGGCACCCCGGACATCTGGGTTCCTGCCCCCCACCCGCCTCTGTCCTGGGGGTGTCCTCTGTCCGACCCCGTGCCCCAGTGTCCCCTTCCTCCCCTCGCTGTCAACTCTGAGAGCTCCCGGATGACTGCCCCTCACTCCTGACCCACAGCCCACCCTCGCCGGTCACTGATGCCCCCTGCTGGGCGTTTTCGAGGCGCCGGGCCCCGCCCTCCTCACACGCCCCCCTCGAGGACCAATCGCGCTTGGGGGACCGACAGACTGTACACGTCACAGCCCCCCCGCAAGCTCCACGCGGGCCCGGCAGTCCCCCCCCCCGCCAGCCCACGCGTGGGTTGCACGGCCCCTGCTCCTGCGCGTGGGCCCCTGGGGGTGGGGTGCCTCCGGGGTGGGGTGGCAGCCGCTGCTGCAGTAGGGGCCGCAAAGGGTTAACCTGCCCGCTTCCGCCACGCTCAAGATGTCGCCCCACTCCGTGTGACGTCACGCCCCGGGGCACTCCCGGGTCCATTGCATCACCTCCGCCCCGGTGCGCGCTAAGGTGAGCACGGCGCCTCCGCCTTGTCCCGGGAGAACCCCCGGCCCCCAGCCCTGGGAGCTCAGGCCCTGGGGATGGAACCCAGGTGTCCCGACCCCCACCCCGCAAACCCGCTGACCTCCTAGAGCACGGATAGAACCTAGGATCCTGGCTTCTAGCACAGCAGGGCCTGGAGGAGGCCCCCGGGTCTAACCCTAAAGCAGTCCTCTTCTCTGGTGTCCTGCCAGGCAGACGCTGTCCCCATGGCTTTGAGGCTTGCCCCCGGGAGGCTCCTGCAGTGCTGGCCTGGGGCAACACTGGTGGCTGCCCGGGCACAGGGCACGGCACCAGCACGCAGGGGTGAGTAGGTAGCGTGGCCAGGATTGGGGAAAGGTCTGTGGAGGGGAGACAGGGACCTTGGCACCCCTGGCTGGGTTCCCAGGTCCCTTTCCCCTCCTGGCATCAGCTGGAGTTTGGGTCAGGAAGTCCCAGCAGGGGCTGTGAGCCCTCTTAACAGGTCTTTTCTGTGCTTTTCCAGAGACGGAAGCCAAAAAGATCCCCAAAGGTACCTATCCTCCCCCCAGCACACCCCCACCCTACCCTGGGCAGGGCAGGGGGGCAGTCCATGCCAGCAGGGGGGCAGTGGGGCATGGGGAGTTCCTGCTTCCTGGGGTCAAAGTCCTGGGTTGGGGCTGGGCTGGGGCCTGCCTGGGTAGGTCCAGCTCTGACTCCCTCCCCAGCCCAGTTTGAGTGGCAGGATGCCCTGCAGCTGGAGCGGCTCCTGACACCAGAGGAGGCCATGATCCGGGACTCCTTCCGCACCTACTGCCAAGAGAAGTTGATGCCACGGATCCTCATGGCTAACCGGAATGAAGGTGCCCCTGGTCCCTGCCCCAAACCCCCTGCCCCCCCGGCCTTTGCCCTCACATTGGCAGTCATGCTGGCACTGTGCTCGTCAGCCATGGCAGGGAGTTGTGTGCGTAGAGTCGAGGTTATGAAACCCCCTGGCATGAATCCAGTCACTCCACTGAGCAAGGGAGAGGGAGGGGGCTCTGGATTGGCCCCTGGGGGGGAATTAAGAGCACAATCTGGCCCTGAGGTGCCTGTTTCAAGAGGGAATGGGGGGGCAGGATTGGGGTGCCTTTCCCCACCATTCATGCAGTCATGCTTCTGACATACCCCCTCTGCCTCCTTCCAGTCTTCCACCAGGAGATTGTGTCAGAGATGGGGCAGCTGGGTGTCCTGGGCCCCACCATCAGAGGTATGCAGGCAGGGAAGGGGGTGGCATGAAGAGGATTGTGGGGGCCCATGGGAAGGTTCCCTGGAGGTGGGAAGCCAGGTGGGGGCTGAATCGGGGTACTTTGGAGCCCATCCCTGGGGCAGGGGGTCCCTGCAGCAGCAGGATGAGTGCATCCATGTGGCACCCCCTACCCATGGGTCTGAGAGGGTATCTTCATGTCTGTGCACCTCAGCAGGCAGGGGGGTTGGAGCCAGGGAGGCCTTCCAGTGCCCCTGACCTTGGCGGCGTTCAAATTGACTGGTCCCCCTGGAGCTCCAAGCCCACATCCTGCCCCTACCTCCCAGGCTACGGCTGCGCAGGGACCACGTACGTGGCATATGGGCTGCTGGCACGAGAGATCGAGCGTGTGGACAGCAGCTACCGGTCGGTCATGAGCGTCCAGTCCTCGCTGGTCATGCATCCCATCCACACCTATGGCACCGAGCAGCAGAAGCAGAGATACCTGCCCCGGCTGGGTGAGCTGGGCTGAGGGGCAGGGGTGGGGTTGGCAAGGGTTCCATGTAGCACTGGCCCCTCCTGGCTGTGGGGAGCAGAGCTGAGTCACACCCTGGGGAAATCCTGCTGCAGAGTTGGGCTGTGGGGACATGGTGTCCCCTGCAGAGAGGGGACTGGTGGGTGGGGGAGAGGCAGATGGAGGTCCCGGGGGCTTGGTAGAGCAGACACGGCCAGGGTAGGAACATGAGTTCTCGCTGTCCCCAGCCAGGGGGGAGCTACTAGGCTGCTTCGGGCTGACAGAGCCCAACCATGGGAGCGACCCCGGGAGCATGGAGACCAGAGCTCGCTATAACCCAGCCAGCAAGACCTACACCCTCAATGGCTCCAAGACCTGGTGAGGGACAGTGCCCCTGTGGACCCCCACTCCCTCCCCAGAACTCCCAAGCTCCGCAGCTGTGACTTGTCTCCCTGCGGAAGGGCTGTGGGAAGCTGGGCTGAGATCTGGCCAGCTTGCTTCGTGCAAGGGCCACACAACGGCTACCAAACAGGGACGGTTGTGTTAGGGGGTGGCAACCAGGATGCCTGGGTTCTCTCCTCTGCTCTGGTGAGAGTGGGGTCTAGTGTGTGAGAGGAAAGGGGAGGTGAGAGCTGGGATGCCTGGGTTAATTCTGCTTGGGGAGGGGTTGAGCGGTGAGAGGAAGAAGAGGCAGGGATGAGTCTGGGAGCCAGGACTCCTGGGTTCTATCCCTAGCTTTGGGAAGGATGCGGGATCTAGGAGTTGGAGCTAGGAGCAAGGATGCCTGGGTTCTTTGCACCCCCAGCCCCCCTCCAGCCTGCTTTGGGCTGATGGAGACTGTGGGGGTGACTGATCTTCCATTGCCCTTCCCACCTCCCAGGATTACGAATGCGCCCGTGGCCGACCTGTGTGTGGTCTGGGCTGTGTGCGAGGATGGGAAAATCCAGGGTTTCCTGCTGGAGCGGGGCATGAAGGGGCTTTCAACGCCCAAGATTGAGGGCAAGTTCTCCCTGCGGGCTTCCATCACTGGGATGATCCTCATGGAAGATGTGGATGTACCAGAGGAGAACCTGCTGCCCAACATCTCCGGCCTGGCTGTGAGTCCTGCAGCTGCTGCATTGCGGGGCTGGGGTGCTGCTTTGATAGCGTATGCCAGCTGCAGTGGGGACAACTGCTTGCAGCCAGTGCTGCCTCTCATTGCTGAGGATATAGCTGATGTGCTGCACCCCAGAAGCAGCTGAATCTCAGTTCAGGAAATAGTTCCTCCCCAGCTGTTGGATAGCTCAGCCCTTCCTGGCTGCTGGAAGCAGCCTACTTTTGATGCCAGCAAACTTGTGCTGTGAGATGCAGCCCCAAGGGGGGTGGCTACAGGGAGTAATGCCCTGGGCTCCTGGTAAAGCCACTGCGGTTCTGCTGTGCATCCTGCAGGGTCCTTTCGGCTGCCTGAACAACGCCCGGTATGGCATCGCATGGGGAGCACTGGGTGCTGCTGAGTTCTGCCTGGAGACAGCTCGGCAGTATGCTCTTGACAGGTGAGAGTTGCCAGCACCATGCTGGCCTGTACTGTCCTGGCCACTTGGTGGGGAAGTGTGTCAAAGAACCGCAGCAATTGCGAAGCTTCCTTTTCCTCTCTAAAGCAGTCGGGGGAACCAAGGAGCAAGTAATGCAATTTTGGGTATAGGATGCTGCGACAACTCAGGATCTATTCCCTTTGGCTGCTGATGATAGGCAAGATGCATCCTTGCTGCGTGCCTCAGTTTCCACCTCATGCATCTAGTTAGACTCTGCAGCAGGGACTGTCTGGGCAGTGCAGCAGAGAGCCTGGCTGGGGCTTCTACCTCCCCAGTAAAGGACTTGCGTGCCTCCCTTTTAGGATCCAGTTTGGGGTGCCGCTAGCTCGGAACCAGCTAATCCAGAAGAAGCTGGCTGACATGCTCACAGAGATCACCATCGGCCTGCAAGCTTGCCTGCAGCTGGGGAGACTCAAGGATGAAGACAAGTACCTAGAGACCTCTTGGCAACTAGAACAGTTGTTTTCTGTTGGGTTTAGAAAAGCATAAGGTTGGGAGAGATTGGATGGCTCCAGGGGTGGGAACAGAGCAGGGGCCTTTCTTGTCCAGGGGCCTGAGGCATCTATAACAGTTGGGTTGAGAACAAAGGTCATGCTGTGACCCAGCGGCTGGATTCTGTACTGAGTCTCAGCCATGGCCAGCAGGGTGTGGGCAGCTCCTCGGGCCCCTTTGGCTGCTGTCCCCATCGCTGTCTCTGATGGCTGCTGCTGTCCTGCAGGGCCACGCCTGAGATGATCTCCATGTTGAAGCGGAACTCCTGTGGCAAAGCTCTGGACATTGCCCGCCAGGCCCGCGACATGCTGGGCGGGAACGGCATCGCTGATGAGTACCATGTCATTCGGCACGTCATGAACCTGGAGGCCGTCAACACATACGAAGGTAACTCCCTGCTCCTGCCACACATGCATGTACCTCATATGGGATGCTCAGGGAACATCCCAGCATCTCCTTGTGTCTTGGCAGCAAAGGGCAGGCAGAAACATGTTCTGTATGGCATAGCAGGTAGCTTGTTAGCAGGCCTTGTTCTGTGGGGAGCAGGTTGGTGACTCTAAGCAGCACTTTCCTCTTCAGTGTGGCACCCTGCGCATAACACTTGGGGCAGGGACAACTTGGCAGCCTGTCTGCCTCCTGGTCTCCAGTGCTGCCATCTGGCACGCGGTTGTCTCTAAGTTTTTCTTCAGTGCATTGTGGGATCCTACTGCAGTGCTCAGGGGATTATGGGAGATGAAATTCTTATCCCCAAAATCCTTGCTTTACCATTGTATAGATAAGGCTCTCTGTCAATTCCTCTGTTTCCAACAATCTTTTATAGACTTCTTGGTCCCTCATTTCAAAACCAGTGCTACTGGGGAAAGGGGCTTGTTTTTTTTATTTTTCCCCACCACCCTGATAAATGGATACAGTTTTACCCAGGGTCAATGGGAACAATCCTCTTGTAATGAAGCAGCCAAGCTCTCAAATACCTGACAAAACTTAGACAGGGAGCATCAGCACTCTCCAATTATCTGAATGTTGCCTAGTAAAAATTCAGGTTTTTTTTTCTCTCTTGTCTTTCTTCACCCCACAGGCACCCATGATATCCACGCTTTGATTCTGGGAAGAGCGATCACTGGGCTTCAGGCTTTCACTGTCAACAAATAAATCTGCTTTACTGGGACAGCCAGGAGAGGGCACAAATTGCCTTCATAACTGCCTTAATTTTTACAGTGGGAGAAGAATGTCATGTCTCTTTCTGCTCGCAAGGTTAAAGTTTTCCAAGCCAAAGGCTGCTGCCATTACAGTGAAGCTGCTGTAACACAGGATTTAATTGCTCTTCAGTTTGTTTCTGTGATTGTTGTGTAATGTGCAGCAAGATTTACCCACAGATCTCAGTGGTTGATTTTAACTTTTTTCCCCCTCCCAAGTTTGGGAAGCCAAGATAAGTTCTCCCTTTGCCTTCAGCTTGGGTAAAGGATCTAATGCTATCAAGAAAACAGGCCCAATAACACCCCTGTTGTTGTTTTTTTGGGGGGGGTGTTTGCTTGTTTGTTTGTTTTTTGACTGCTGTATTTGGGGGTGGTATGTGAGAAGGGTGACACTGAAGACACTTTTATCAAGTGGATGATGCACAATGAGTTTGTAAGGAAGGATTGGCTTGGTTGGCTGTTTGCTCCTTGGTGGCACAATGCAACAGCTTTCTGGGATCAGCTGCAAGGATCTGCAATGGTTCCTTTTTTTTTTGTTTAGTTCCATTGGATGCCAAAGCTCACCTAAAACTTACTCTGTGGATCTGGACTAATGTGATACAGTGGAGAGCTTCCTTTTCTTTACAGCCCTGGTTTTGCATTAGTTATCCCAAGAACTCGGTGCACACTCAGTGCCCACCCCGCCCTTCCCCCCCTCCCTAAGAGGTTGCTATCAGTTTCTGTGTGGGCACAAGCCCACAGACCCCTAACTATACTAAACAGGCCTTCTCTTCACTGGACCATGCTAAGAGTCACATCTCTGTACACTGCCTGTGGGACTTATCAAATCCATACAACAGAGCAGCTGAGCTTGGGAAGCCTGGCACCGTCTGCTGCTGGGACTTTAATTCCTAGCTATCACTGAGTTACCACTTGGCTTTGGGCTAGTTGCTTCTTATTTCTATGCCTCATTTTTCTCAAGATGTCAGAGGAGGTCAAGGAGTCTTGAAGCTTTTTGAGGACTGCAGAAGCAAGGATCCATCACTACAAATTCCTCTTGGTAGCCCTTAGCTGAGTGCTGCTGGTTTGAGGCTCCTTCGGTTTTTTAGATGAATAAATTTTAAAATATACAGTAAAAGAAAAACAAAAGTTATGCGTCTTGCTTTCTCAGTTGTGGTCACTGTTGATCCAACTAGATAGAATATGAGCTGCCCAGTTATGTTTCACGGGCCCCAGACTGCTTGCTGTCCTAGAAACCCACTTTTTTTTTTTGTATTGCAAAACAAGCAAATGCCCCAGCAGCAGGTTGTGTTTCAAGTTTTGTACCCTTTACTGAAGGGAAATTTCCTGAATTTCAGACAACTGGTATTTCTGACTGTCAGTTCTGGAGTAAAACATAGGCCTGGTGAATGGTGAGTAGATGAACACAGACTAAGATTTACAGAAACAGGTGCATTGGCAGATAAGATTCCAAGGGAAGGAGTTCACATGGGCAGGTGCATTGACCTGTGACTACAGGCAGGACCAGATTCTCAAGTGCCCAGCTTCCAGCCTCTCAAGTATTCTTGAAAATCTGGTCTGTGCTGGTGCTTATATGAAATGGAAATTAGCCCGAGAGCCTGAGATCCGCTGTAATATTGAGGGGATCAGACAGCTGAGCCAGCCATTGCTTGAAAGCTTAACTGCCAGGGTAGAGTCTCCTGAATCAATGCATCAGCTCTGAGTTCCAGGAACTCGGAACGAGAAAATTACTACTACTCTGACTGAGAGGAAGAGGACAGGAGGCATTATGAAATCTACCTCTTATCTCTCCTTCTGTTACTAGTTTTTCCACTCGTTGTAGGTAGGGCTATTAACAAAACATGTTACTTTTTCAACCCCTCTGTCTGTTAGGGTCTCTCTCTGTTCTTGTGGTTGAGAACAGGCAGAGCTTATGGGAAACAGCTATTTAAAATCTGTTCTCCTGTGTAAAAAAAAGCAAAAACAACAAACCACCCCAAAATTCAATTTTTGTTTTCTTTGCTGTTTTAAACTACACTGGGTTTTTTCCATATTGCTACAGGTAACAATTAGAGATAACAAAATGGGCAAATTGCTGAATGAGACCAAGCAAAAATGTAGCATTGGCGAAACCTTTTACCAAATGCCTTACACTAACATGCCATAAGCAGGTTACACGTCTTCTGCACAGAGCTGGCTAAAGATTGCCTGCAAACACATTGGAGAAAAAACATGCCAAAAAAGCAGCAGGGTGTGGAAATTCGCTAGCAGCTGTTCAGCTCTTGTGCAGTCCTAGTCTACTATCTTCAGAGTGTTTTAATTATAACCGCCACCCTGTACATGAGGCAGTTTGCACTCCTTAAGGCTGAATCTTCCCAACATGTTCCTTTAACCCACCTGGTTCTAACATGCCACTCATTAGAACATGGAAGTACAAGAGGTTGTTGTGACCTTAAAGATCAAATTAGTGGCAACAGGCTGGAGGAAGGGGCCTTATCAGCTCAGTATCGCCCTTGTTCCATTTGCACAGGGGGAGCAGATGTGAGGTGGGTTTGGCTGTTAACTCCTTCCCTGGTTTTTATGGAAGGCTTTGGCTCCAGCTGGCTCTTTTTGGCTGTTGGTCTCTTCCCCCAACCCTTTCCCCCTCCTCTATTCTCACACCTCAGGCTGAATGCACAAGTCCTTATAAGCTGCCTCCACAGTGTGGCAGACTTGCCTGAGCTCGGCTCCGATCTGGCTGATCCTTTCCATTGCGTCCGAGAGCTCCTGGAGCTTATCCTGCATTATCTTGTTATGGAGATCGTAAATGAGAAACATCATTTCTTCCAGCTTCTCTGCCAATGTCGAGACCTTTCAGAGTACAAGGGAAAACATGGCTTAGGAACAAAATTGGACAGGGGAAGAGCCAAGGGGCTGACTGTGAGAGGTCTAACACCTGCCATGAGCAAGGGGATGCAGTGACTTGATTTGCAGGGGGGCTTGGCTGTTTGGGGCCAGGGCTGGATATAATCCTGAAAGCGATCTCACCTGAGATTTTTAGGTGAAGTGGAGTAAATGTAAATACCTGTTGCAAGGGCCCATTGCAGACAGGCTTCTAGACTGACCTGAGCTAGTATTGTAATTCCTTTATGTGGGCCTGTGCTCTATTCCCAGCTGTCCTGGGATTAAAGTGCCTAATTGACATATTGCACATCCACACTGCAGTCACAGAAGAGGCAGGGTTAATTAGCTCAAGCAGAGTTCCATGCTGCCAGGCCTGGGCTAGTACAACCCCCATGCCCCCTTCCCAGGTTGGATATCTGCACTGTATGACTCTGGTGTGTGGCTGAACCTTGGATACTTTGGGCCAATCCACCCACTACCTCCCCCCATCTTTGGGCCCCTCCACAGCGTTAAAGTGGGACAGCTTTCTGTGCATCTGACACATGCGATGGTCAGATATGCTGATCCATTGATATGCAAGACCAAGACTGATAGGTTTTGTGCGAAGGGTACAAGCTGTCAGCTGGGGCATGTAATCCCTTTCTGTGTCAGCTGGGAATGGAACAAATCTTTTGGGGAGCGGCAGAGTGTGCAATCCAACAGCATTTAGGTAATAAAAGTTTGGCAAAGCCTGGAGAAGAAGCTCAGCTGCTGATTTCCATCATGTTTCAGTAGGGAAGGAGGTGTCTAGACACAACCTTAACTCTCACTCAATAGGGCCAAGTGGTTGTTCAGTTTGCATAAGAATAATAGTGACAAGGGGCGTGTGTGTATTAATTACACATTAGATAGTGTAGCTATTTTTTACCTCTGCACTGCATTATTTCTCCTTTATGCTTAAGCAGAGGATGGTCCCAAGTATCTTACTTCATTGTCTCTAAGGCACAGAGGACACTAAGCCTGGTGATCCATGACTAATGCAGTTAGAATAATATGATTAAAATATATTAAATAAACAGTCTGTGACTGCATAATCTTTAACTTTGCATGTGCAGCAGGGGTGGGAGGAGATTAGGCAGGCTGGGGATGAAATGGGGGTTGCTGTTCTGCACAGGGATTTATTTCGGGGTCTCTGAGCCATGATGTTGGGATTTTGCTGCTGTTTGCAGATTATGAAAGCTGTTTTGCATTTAAAACAAGTTGGCTCTTTCAGACTGAGTTGCTCTGACAGGGAGAACTGGGGAAGAGGGGACAGAAAAGCCAAGTGGGTTCCCTCTTAACAACCTTCTTTCTTGCTGAGACCACCTGTTCCCCTCAACTGTTCTGCTCAGTCTAGCTGCAAATGTCCCAAGCAATGAAGATCAATGGGCCTTCCTCACACAACTCTAGGCACAGTAATGAAAGGGTTCAGACATTCTTTCCTGCCTAGCCCCATGCTCCATGGATCTGCACAGGAAGCAGTGGTCTTGTTGGGGAGAGTATGTCACCCTCTTTGGTCTCAGGCACATTAAAAGGAAAAGGCAACATAGTGTCAAGATGCCTTACCTTTCTCCTCCTTTAAGAAGGATCTCCAGGCATCTGTTGTCAGGAGTAGTTATAGTAATGCTCCAGTATGTGTGGGGGATTAGGGAGGAGGTGGCATTATGGGAAACCCTAAGATCTACTCAGGTTGTGATTCCCCTGGGATCTCTGGTTGCTATTTTACAGGCAAGAGTGAACTCCCTATGCCCCAAAAGATGGGATGACACAAGGGAATTCTCCCTACCCCCACACATCTCCTCTGGATTTTGTATCATAAGAGGGGACAATCCAGGATAGGAATGGAGAATTTTCTTTCTCCCAGAGGTTGAAAATGCTTCTCTTCACCAAACTAAAACAGCTCCTCCCACACCATTTTTCACCTTCTCTCCCTGAAATTGCTCATGACCGTATGGTCCTTCTTTCGGTTCTCATTAATCTTATCAATCAGCTGCTGTGTCCTCTTCTGCAGGTTTTCAATGTTTGCATCCAGGCCTGCAAAGTAATTGGATGATTTGCCATCCAGGGCAGTCATGGCAGTGTCGGCACCAGGGTAGGTAGGAGAAGCAGGGGGAGGTTCTTTCCTGGATTTACATGTAAATAAGAAAATAAATAAAGCCAGGTTTGTATTCAGCTTCAATGTGGAGGCAAAAATCTGCCTGAGGTGGAGGTGTGGATCATCTTTGCTTCCCAGGGAGGCAGCTACTCCCTTCTGTCTCAAGCAGGGGAAGAATTTATCAGCTTTATAAAAGAAACATAGTAGTGACTCTAAGAAACTCAGTACAGGATTCTCTCAGTTCAGGAGGTACTTTGCTACTGTTCTGCATCCTGACCACTGCTCTCATCCTCTCACAATTACTGACACCTGATAATTTGTCACTACTGGGGAATTCCCCTTGCGGTGGCAAATTAATCAGAGATGACTGTGGAAAGACACAGGACTGCAAGAACTGAAGAGAGGACTCTTGCTCTGTTTAAAGGGGGGAAGGTAGACAGAGGTGGTATTGGACCTGGCTGGGGCAGAAAGGGAGAGAGGCTGAGGAACAAGGAGGAAAGTTTACTGGACAGAGCATGAAGTTAGGATGCTGGAGACCTTAACTCAGCCACTGACTTCTATGGGTGACAGTTGCTTCATTTTCCCCAGCATCTCAGTTCCCACCTTGGAGAACAGGGATAATGCTTCCCACTCTTACATAGGTGGTATCAGGATAACAATTGATGATTGGAAAGCATTTATATACTCGGAGGAAGCAGAGTAGTCAGAAGCAGCCTGATTTTTACCTTGCTTATGTCAATGTTCATCCATTAGAATCACTAGAGTTATGCTGCTTTACACCAGGGGATTATTGACCAGAAGGGCCAGGCAAAAGTGAGTCACAAAATGAGCCAAGGAGCAGAGGTAACTAAGTCAGGCTGAGGCATTTGTACTTCTTCAGCTGTTTTATGATATTTGAACAGGAAAATTACTACCCCTCCTGATATGTCAGTTCACAGCCACAGGCAATGGGTATGAACCTGCCACGGCAATTAAACAAACAAAGAAAAATGACAAAGTGTGCAGCCAAAATATTTCTGCAAAAGGCAGAACCCAGAGGAAACCTTTGCTGGCTATTCTGTTAATTTTTCTCTTGAGGGAATCTTAGGCTTTTCCACTTGTTGATCCAATAATAAAGCAGCTTATTAACCAGAATGCTAATTTATCACAGACTTGACAGCTTCTGTGTTGGCTAATTATTTTTAATAAAGAAAATGCAGAGTCCCTGCTGACTCGCTTGTTTGTTAAACTATTTCTACAGTGCTAGCAAAATTGGCACCTAATTCTATTTGATGGAAAATAAATGGCACGCAGGATGAGCCTACTTGGATTTCAAACCAGCATTCTTGCTTAGAATCAGGCTTCTGGATGTATTATCACCAGAGCCTGTGATGCTCTGCATAGCTCAGGGTCTTTGCCCAGGTCTTGAGGCTACAAGTAAGGGCTGTAGTGTCAAAAGCTCCTCAACCTTTCACCTTCCATGTCTTGGCCTTTGTAGTGGAGGAAGGGGCTAAGTAAACCCTGCCATTTGCTGAGGGGAAGTCATGACGAGCAGTTCAATGGCAGAATAGAAAGCCAGAGAACCTGTGGCTGATTAGCTCAGTACTCCTGTACATGACAATGCATAAACAACATATGTGCCAGGTGGCATTTTGTCTGCACTCCCCCTGAATACATGGGACATATGCAGCTACGGTAAGAGAAGCCGTGTGTTCCAACAGATTGGACACCGCTCTGGGTGCCTAGAGACTTGGGTTCTAACCTAATAAGCTAATTATGGGAAAAGATGACAAGCAGTTCAGCTGCTATGGTAATGGGGGCTATTTAAACACTATCAATAGGAAGTGAAAGAGAAGCAGTTGCATTTGTGAACCTCTCTGCAGGTGTCTCTCACGGATGCTGCAAGTGCTGGAGCAATATAGGAATCCCACTATACCAGCATGGTACGTTACTCCTAATGTGGAAGCAGTTATACTGGGAATCTTCTGCTTTCTCTTAAATCAGCTCACTAATCATTGAATTATGTCACCTCCACCCCACCACCTTCATTATAAGTATGGCATGAGAGAGTAAATTATAAAGGGTAAATTATTATGAACTTTCCCCATGGCCTTCAGGATTTTATAGGCCTCTATCCTACCCCCATTCCTATTTAGCCAGAAATTGACATCTAAAGTGCCTGCCCTGTGCTACACTCATGGGCCCCACAGCTAACTTCCTAACATGATTGATTTAATGCTGTGGTGACAAATACTTTCCATACCCAACTGTTAGTCACTAGTAGATTTAGTCCTGTTTGAGGTTGCAAAAATCATTGCAATTAATGTTATGGAATTTGAACAACCTGGTTATTCCTAATTATAGGATATACTAAAAAAATACACGTCCCCCTTGGTTCTCCCTTTGTAAGGTTTCAGTCGAAATATCTGTGGTCCCAGTTACAAGCACTTATGACTAAAGATGCAGCAGTTTTTGTTGCTTTCTTGGAAAATATTAGACTGGAAAAATCCCTACCTTGATGGGCACTCACTAGAGAATTCATCTCTCTCCAAGGTAGCAAAGAACAGGCTGTCAGGTATAGCTAGCTCCTGTGCTGGCTCCTCATTTTCACCTTCCTGATTAGACATAGTAACCTTTCAAAATAAAACACAAATTTTAAGCATGCTGAATGAATCCGGAGGTGCACCACAACCCAGGACATGTACATGCAGCTAACTTGTGACCCTGCTCAGGTCATGTCCACTGTGTCTTGTCAATATAGATGACATGCTCTTTAGGCAGGACCTGTCACATAATTAAAGTTTGTGCAGCACCTTAAGCATTACATCAGATCCAGTGTTTAAATCAAATAAAGAGTTTTAAATACACTGAGTAGAGCTGGTCAGCATTTATTTTTAGACATTTTTTTTTGCCAGTAAATTCTACCCAGTCAGAACTGAACATCCCCATGAGACATGTGCTTAATTTTTTTTTTTATTTTTTTTTGGGGGGGGGGGGAAGAAAATAGAAGTTTTGAAAATGTCAAAGCATTTAATTCAAGAAATCTGGCCATTTTTCATTTTGAAATTACATTTTTTGGTCGTTTTTATTTTGCATTTAATATTTTAATTAGGAATGGTGGACACTGAAACAAGACATTTCAACATGTGCTGTAAGGAAATGTTTGGACTGATTTAACATTATTTTTCTCTGATTTTCAATGTGTGAAAAAAGTGAAGGATTTTTGACCTTTCCACTCAATTCTGAACAAGGGAAAAAAAAGTAAAAATCTTGGATTTGTTTGGAGAGTCAGAAAGTTCACTCCCTGGTTCTCTCTGACAGCAAGCTTGTTTCTCTTTTACACAAGTTTTACATTAATTTATATTCACTGGGATCATTCCCAATGTACCTAAACTGTACATTGTACCTACAGGGTGGCCAAACTTACCACTTTTATCTATGAATTGATTTTGCTAGGGGAGTTTTAAGTAGTCTGTGTTTTGTGAGGAACTTCGCAGGACAAGCTTTTTTGATTCAGATATACATTTCAGAGCTTCTGAGATGAAGTTTTAACTAACATACAAATAAAACACCCACAGTAAAAAACAAACAAACATTACTTTTGTGTTTATTGGATAAACATCAGCAAAACACCAATAATGGTTCATATGGACTTCACCCTTCCTAGTGCCATCTGTTTATACACATGATGTCCCTACTCCCTAGCTTGTATGCAACACTGGGTTGTGCTGGGTTTGTTAAAATCCACCATAACTACTCAGTAGTAGGAAAGTCTTAACATTTCTATGGGACAATTGATATAGAAGATAGTATTCAAAACCTTGTATGCATGTACAGTTTCACATTGTAAAATGCTATTTAAAAATCCTTGTCACAGCAAATATCACATATATGTTATTTTTTCTGGAGCATTGGGATTTATAATAATTGGGAAAGAAAACAAAGGAAAGAAAGGAGGGGTGAATATTCAAGTACTATAAAATTATGATACATATTGTATCAAGACACAATAAAACAGTACATGTTTATAGTAGGCTATCTTTTTGTAGCTAAATATTCGCTGATTTGTATAGTAAATACTTGTGTCATCTAAAACTTCCACCTAATGCCAGATGTAGGTGTGTAAATTGCACAAAAACTAAACCAGGATTTGAAAACAGACATACCAAGTTTAAACTGTCCTGTGAGAAACTTTTAAACTTATAATCAATATTAAAGTAGATCCCATGTAGAGAAGAATTTGGAAAGTAGCTGGGGAAAAAAAGCACCTGATAGTGCATATAAAGAGAAAGCCACTCAAATCACCCTCATCTACAGAGAACATGAAAATGGCTAAAACTCAGTTCTGACAAATGACATTTATAAACACCCTCAAATGGAAGGTCTCCCCATATTTTTAACTTGCAATGAAAACAGTTTTAAGTTTAAAGAGAACAAATCAAATGAATAGAAAGCCACTGCAATTCTTACTATGAAATAATATCTATCTGTCACTATCTTTACTTAGCAGTACATCTAGACTAAATGCACTTAGATGGCAAAGGTTATAAGGCAAATAATATTTCAGATGTTTTTGTTATGTGTATACACACAATGCTGGAATAGAAATATTACTATTACTAATACTAAATGGTCAGGAATCGAATGACAAAACTAGTTACCAGGGGTTGTAAGCGTGGCTTTGTGTTCCTAGACTAAAATCTTCAAAACACTGTAGACATTAATGTGTAAAAAAAAAAAATAAAAAGAAAGATAAGTGAGTTTAACTATTGTAATTATTTTTGCATTAAAACTTTTATTTACTAGGCCAAAATGCTGCAGGAAGCTAGTCATCACCAGTCCTTTGCCCCTATCTGGTATCCTCCAGGCCTTAAAACTAGTTAGTTGGAAAAAAAACAAAACCCTCACTCTAGGATTGCTAATGCTCATATTATTTGGAGTTTTTCTTAAAAGCCTCAGCTTCTGGAGTCACGGGATTACATAAGACACTCAGTTCTGCTTTAAAACTTTATTTCTAGCCCTCATGGTTAAGTGCAAAAGCTTAAAAGTCAATCTTCAATGTAAACCTTATTGTTTAAAATCTCATTTCCTCTCCTAAACAAGTCTCATTTTCAGGGTAATTGGCCTGGCTGTATTTAGGGTGGCAATACTCTGCTTATTCTATTCCATTCAGCTTTAAAAGTAAAGCGGATCTACAAGAAAGATTTCCTCACAGTCCAAGAAAAGTCCCCAAGAGAAGTTTGACCCAGTCTGACTTGAGATGGTGAGTATTAATAAACATGTTCAATTTGATTAGAGGAGACAGCTCAGTGGATGTGGGATCCCACCATTGTTAAAGTAACTCTTTCATTTAATTCTGGAGGAGCTTGATCTTGGATATGAGTGAAGGGGCTCCAGTGTCAATCCCAAATGAGCATGGATCCCATATTAGGCTCATAGGAAGGGGAGATTTGTGCCTGGAGTGCCCCGCATCAGGGCTAGCAGTGGAGGGAACGGACGCCGTGGCTTGGCATGGCATGTCCCTGTACCAGGGCTCCCAGGCTGCTAGAAGGGGTCACACAAGGAATCCCACAAAAGTGAGGGGCCAACCCTATGGGGTGACCCCAGATGGAGCCCCACAATGTGGTCCCTATAGGAAACCCCTATGAGTGTATGACCAGCCCCATGGGGATGGCGGGACTGTTTCACGGCTCACAGGGGGACCCCAGACTGTCCCCCCATCACTGAAGGGTGTCAGAGCAGGGGGCAGGCACCCTCACCCCTCACAGCTTTTCCCACCATTTTCCCTCCCCTCAGCCAGCAGCATCAGAGATGAGGCAGGTGGGCAGGTCCATCTTTGCTAAATGACACCTGCATCAGCCAATTGGTGTGTGCCCTGCTCTCAGCTCCTCCAATGAGAGGCCCCAAAGGGGGAAGAAGGGCAGATGTGGGCTAGAAATGTGGGGGAGGGGATAAAAATGAAGGGGGCAGACCAGGGAGGAGGGACAGAAATGGGAGGAGGCAGGGGACAAAAATGTGGGGGATGAAGGCAGGGCAAAGGGGGACAGAAATAGGGGGCAGGATGGGCTGATATGGGGTGGCAGGAGGATGGCATAAATGGGGGGCGGGTCCAGATTGGGCTGAGGGGCAGAAATGGAGGTCCAGGTTGAGGTGAGGAGCAGAAATAGTGGGGCAGAGTGGGGTAAGAGCGGCAGAAATGGGAAATCCTGATAGGGCTGGGTGAGAGCAGAGGCTCTCTGAGGGAAGGCATCATCCAGAAAATAAGGCAGCAACAGCCTGTGATTCCCAGTAACTGGTCTCCAAATCCTCTGTAGCCAAAGCAAACCTGCCTCCGGCCAACAAGGTTGTTGTCTGCCTTCCTAAAAGGGGAAGAACATCTTGCATTCAAAAGTCGGTCTATCCCAATGCCATAGATGGTTCAGCAAAACAGATCATCCTGAAGAATCCTTGCCTCCCTCCCACCTAGAGTTGCCAACCCTCTAGGATTGCCCTGGAGTCTCCAGGAATTGAATGTAAATCCCCAGGAGATGCTGAGTGTCACCAGGAGATAAATCATAGGGCTTTCATAAAAATAGGTATCAGATGTTGAATCTGATTTATACAGTAGTCAAGTGGGTTTTTAAAATGTAATAGTAATGTTCATTTGCTTTCCTGATGTAAAGTCTATGTACTATAATCCATAACTGGGGTATATATATATATAGGCACATTTGCGTTGTGTGTTGCTGGTATGTTGGCTTTTTGGAAACCTCCCAATATAGTTTCAAACAGAGATGGCAACCCTACTCCCAACATAGACATTTCCTTCTCCCCTATCTGTAATGCAGCTCCCCCCTCCCCAATCTTTGGCTTACTTCATTTCTGGATGAAAAAAGGACATCAAACAAGAAAGTTGCAGCAAATACCTATTTTTACAGGTTTGGGATGGAGAGAACTTCAGCCAAAGCCAAAAATCCTCCTACACAATCTCACCCATTAAGGACTTGTGAATAGTCTTGGATTAGAGTGACATCACAGGCTAGTTCTTCGAGCCTGTGTTATTTTTACTCTTGTTATCCATTAGGGCTTGGAATAGCAGCATCTTCCACCTCATATAACATGGGACTTGGTGTGTTTGTGTCGATTTTTTTTTGAGAGGACTTAAGAGTGATGAAAGGCATTGCATTGACATGGAACTAGAAAGCAGCTGATCCTCAGCTCCTTGCTCTCCTGCCTCCCTAGAAAGGTATCTTCTATATCTCAATGCTTCCTTCCAGTTGAAGGACAGCAGAAAAAAAGCCTATTCTAGACAGCTATAACAGTGTGACAGGGCATTTTGCATCACTGAAGGCACCACTTTTGTGTCTAGACCACACTGCATCAGCCCAGATCTATCCTCCACCCCTTCTGGTCTCAGCCTGGGCACTCAAAATGTAGCCCCCCCACACCCAAACATGAATGAAAAAGGCTGTTTGGGGGCACCCTAGATCCACTGCTCCCACAATTACAAATGTGGTTCAGCGGATGTTTTATTTCCCATGGGCTCAGTGCACCAGGGCTGTTTCCTTGCCTGTGAGAGGATCAAGAGAATCTTCTGGGAGCTTGGCATCAATGCTGGGAGCAGCAGGGTGCTATTTATAACAGTGGAGGTGCCAGTGTCTGACATTCCAGCTTCTCACCTTGTCACCTGAATGCTGTTAGCACCAGCTTTGACAGCTGCCCTCGCACCACAGAGGCTGGTTTGCTTGCAATTCAGGTTGCCAGACTCTGATGGAATCCAGGCCTGTCTGATCAACAAGTCCATAGGTTTCTGGCTGACGGGGCAGGAGGCTTGTTTCCTCTCTCCTTTTGCCCCAGGGCTTTGTCTGCCATTGCTCTAGTTTTACACTGGTAGCAGGGGGAGGGAAAAGCAAAACTATGATTAATACAAAGGGGGCTTTTTGACTGAGTTGCTGAACACATTAACCCTATCCCCCCAGCCATTCCCTCTGGCTCTTTAGCATCTCTGACTCTCAGCCAGTGTCTCTCTGTCAGTGTCATCAAATCCCCACTGCTCCCCTCTCCCTCCATCCTGCCATCTTCATGGCAATTAAGCTGATGCCATGGGAGCTGTGGCAATATGAACTGTGCACAGCTGTGACCAGTTCCTTTGGTTGTGCTCCAAACACTGGTGGGCCCCCATCTCTGCAAGTCCTGATATGGGCTCCAATCCCAGGATCCAGCCCCCTGCTTCATGCCGTGAGACTGACTTCACTTCACCTGGACAGCATCAAGTAGAGGCTGGTGCCTTTTGCCAGGATGGCTCCAAGCTGCCCGGCTTCCTGCACAGAGCACCCTGATGCTGCATTCAGTGTTTTACACCAGCTCCCTGTGCCTGGCACTGATGCTGGCTCATTAACACCTTGCTCTTCATGCTTCCAGCTCTTGGTTTTTTTGTGAGCAGATGAATAGAAGGCAGGAGACTGTTCCCTGGGCTCAGCCCACTGAGAAGAGGTTTCTGCTGTTACCACTTAACAGCACTGGCCTCATGAATGCCTCTAGCTACATCTTCTTACTTTAGTGTCCTATATTAAAAGGAGACAGACTCCTGTTACTGCTACTAACTCCTGAACATAGCATTTAGCTTAAATCTGTGCTTCCAGCCTCAAACACCATCCAAAACAAAGTGGTTAAGCCTGGAGGAGGTAGATCCTGTGTTGAGTTCTAGCCTTCTAATGACCCCCCCGAGACAGGGCACAGACTCATCATCAGAAGACAAGTATGAAATGTTGACCCTGCCACCACCCTAGTCAACTAGACCCCAATCCCTCCTGCAGCCAGAACCCAGGAGTCCTTACACCCAGCCCCATCTTGCTCTTCATCTCAATTCCCATGGGGGTGAGGAGCATGAATAACAAAGCCAGGAGCTCCCTAGTGCTGCAGCCTCTCTGCTCTTGCCACTGGGTGCATCTCAGTCTTATGCTAGATCCATCTGCTTGCCTGTCCCAGAGGCAGGTACAGGCCAGAGCCAGAAACAGAACCTAGGCATCTGGACTCTCAGCCTCTCCCCTCCCCGCCTGTCAAATTAACCCTTTCAGAGCTGGAGGTAAAACCTTGGAGTCCTGACTCCTGTCTCCCTTTGCTCTTAATATTTGACTTCACTCCCCTCCTGGATCCAGGCAAGGAACCCAGGTGTCCTGGTTCCCACCCTCTCCATGCCCTGTCTACTAGCCCGTACTCCCCTCCCAGAGCTAGGGAGAGAACCAGAGTGTCCTGACTTCCAGCCCTTACAGCCTCAGACTCTTCTTATCCTTAGGGCTGCATCTAGCCTTTCCCTGCTCTCCATTCCCAAGTTCCTCTGGAAAGCCAATCAACCCCAGCCCCGGCTGTGACATCACACAAGTGGGAGGAGCCCTTCTTTAATTCTCACCTCCAGCTGTGAGTCTCTAATTGTTCCAGATGGTGGCAGGGGTTGCTGCACCATGGGCCGGCTGAAGTTGGGTTTGCTTCCAGATCCCAGCCCCTCTCCAGGGCCTAGCAACCACGCTGGAGCAGATGCACCATCCAGCAAGGGGACAGTAGGACTTCAGGCAGCCCAGGTGAGGAGACGGGGGTGGGGGATCAGAGAGGGAAAGGATTCCTTAGAGGTTGGATGCCAGGACTCCTGGGTTCTGACCCTGTCTGAGGCAGGCACATAGTGGAGTCAAGGGTCCCACCTCTGCCTTTACACTCCTCCTGTTTTCTCTCTCCAGCTGCAGAAAGTTTCTCTCTCCCTTTTCCCTTCCAAAATGATCCCTCTGGGTGCCATTGCTGCCTCCTCACCCATCCCTCTGCCCTGCTCTCCTGAGACCTGGCAGGACACGGGAGGATGGGGGGCAGGGGGGGGGAAGCATGGTGTCCCTTCTTAAGCCCCTTAAACCTTGGGCTTCTTCATCGGTTCTGTACCCAGAGTGCTGTGCCCCTCATACAATTCAGTCAAGCCCTGGACTGTTCCTGTGGGCACTGTCCCCCCCCAGCTCCCACCTGGGGGCGAGAATCATCTGGGTAGGTGATAGCCCTAGACTGAAGGTATCTTTCTCCTTTCAGTGAAGCACAGAGAAGGCCCGTGTACTGGCTGTGACAGTAGCAGGGCCCTGCTAGACTCTCACTTGCTCCTGGCAGATCAGGGGAGAGAACCCAGGTAGCCTGGTCCTCACCTACTAGACCAGACTCCTCTTTCACAACTGGGAAGAGAACCCAGGCATCTTAGCCCTTGCCCCCTCCCCCACCCCCGGATCTCACCTAGTAGACTAGACCCTCTTTACAGCTGGAGAGAGAACCCAGGTGTCCTGACCATCCACCTGGGGTCATATTTGGGGCTCACTCCCCCCCTGCCTCTGGAATCCTGATGCTTGGGGAAGAATGAAAGCAGTTTAGGTCAGCCTGCCCACCTCGAGTTCCCTCCCTTGCTTCAGTTTCCCCTGCTTGTGCTGCAGACAGCCCAGTCTATATTGCTGGCAGCTGGGCTCCAGGACATGGAAGCAGCATCCGAGGTCCAGCCCACGAACCTGACTGGCACCCACCGCACAGATCCAGCGGAGCTCCTGTCCCCTCATGCCGCATCCCATGAGAGTCCTCTGCCCAGCGACTCACCAACCCCACTCCGCAACCTCACACCTCTGCCCAAGGCCGTGCTCTACCTGCTCATGGCTGCCCTGGTGGTGGTGGTCATGGCTTATGCCATCGTGGGACACCTACTCAAAGACCTGCTGCGTGACCTTGTTGGTGAGCCTGGAATGGGGCAAGGCAGGGAGGGAGGAGGGCTCCTACTCGGGTGCTTTTCCTGAATGAGAAAAGCACCTTAGCCTTGAAGTGGAAGGGGAGGCAGGAGAAATC